GTTTGAAACGTTGAGGAGTTTTGAACCAGGGATCAATTGACTTTGTTTTGCAGAATTCTTTTGAAGACAGAATCGGGGTAAGGACAAAGCAGAACAGCAGAATGTATGGACTTAAAATGAGAAAAAAACCCAGCATATTGTGTCATATTTATTATTAACACCGGACAATTTTCTCTAAAGGAATTACCAATTTATGATAATCCCTTGCATTCTGTTAGTGCCTTAAACTTTGCAAGAGTCCTTTTCAAAGACATGATCACTTTTGATTTTTAGCACAAGGCTTCAAAATGACAATTATACCTTACAAAATTATACCCGGTGATTACATAAATTCAGATATACGCCGTTCGAAAAGAGAAGTACACTAAAGTTCTCATTTTCTAGTGTGGGAGTGAGGATTATTCTCTAGGACTAATCTTTTTCTTTTTTTTTTTTTTTGCCCCAGGCAGAAGAAACTGGCATTACTAACCCAGAGATTCCTAGAATTATTGCCCATATTCTAGATGTTCTAGCGGGTCACCACACCCAGAATCATCCTCATTTGGTGTATCAGCCAGAGTGAACAACTGCCACCAGGTGGCACCAAACCGCAGCCAGGGACCTACTTCTAGAAGCCAGACCTCAGAAGTCTCAGGTAGCTAGCTAGCTGCTCAGGGTAGCTGTGACCAATGACTGAGTAATACTTGACCCCACATTTTGGGTGGCCAAATTTTTGGACCCCACTTATTTTATTTTATGTATGTTCTAAGACCTTCCCAGTAAGGTTGTTGACTTACTCAAGGTCACACAGTATCTTACTGTCAAAGACAAGAACTCAAGGCTCCAAGTAATAGGTATTAGAGTGGAAAGAGTACAAAACTTGGAGTTGAATGATAAGAGTTCAAGTCCCACCCCAGCTACTTCTTAACCATGTGATGACGGACAAACGATTTACCATTTTCTGAGCCTTCTCCCTCCACTAGAATTTGGGGCTACTCCTCATGGATGTGGAAAGATAATGCATCTGAAGGTGCATTAGGAAACTAGAGCAAACTATGTGAAAATACATTCGGCTTCTCTCTGATCCCAAATATTAATACTTTCAATATTGTTCTTACTCTAACTGATAAGGATAGTCAAAGAAAATACTTTATAATTGAATCCATAACTTTCAGCTGTATGCTATTTTTAAAATACAAAAGTGCATCACGAAAGCCTGAGAACAGTATCTTTCCATTTAATAGAACCATCAACCAACTTAAATATATTAAGTATCTACAATGTGCTCAACGCTGTAGACACCATAGAAAAAGCCATATTGTAGTTTCTACCCTTAAAGAGCTAATTATTTAATCAGAGAAATCACATGTCAAGGAAATGCAAATAACATAAGGCAAATATTAGTAAATACAAGAAACAATGACATTCTAGCAGTGATCGGGAAGCTGGGAGTTGATGGGAAGAGGGAAATGGGTAAGCTCAGTGGTGGTAAGGAAAACTGTGCAAAGAGTTAAGAATTCAGTTTTGCCTTGAAGGTTGATACGATGTAAACAGGCAAAAAAAAAAAGAGATGTTAGCTATTCTGATTCATCTCTTTGCTTTTCTCTGACTCAGTGGTTCCATTTTGGTTAATATGATCCCAGAAGCTCCAAACAGATTCTTATCGGGATAGTTTTGTAATAGCTGCTGACCGATCAGTAGCGAGGATTGAAAGACATGCATGGAGTGTAATTTTTCAGCAACTTCTGGCCAGGTGCTGCTGGAGAAGCAGCTCCCTTTTAAATGTATCAGCACTTCCTCCTCTGCTCTGCATAAAAGTTACTCACAGTTTGTATCCGTGCCAGTAAGATGAAGGTAATGACTGCTTCACACACCAGTGGTAGGATGTGTGATTTCACCCTTGGAGAACTTGACAGAATAACCGACTTTGATGATTAATCCATTGTAACAAGGGCTCAGCATTGGTGGAGATGAATCTTCTGCCTTAAGTGACTACCCTGTTGTGCTGTAGTCTCTAAAATCCTTTGGAAGTTGATAAACTATAGGAAGGAGTAAGGTTGCAGACCTTGGGATAGCATTCTGATTCTTTTAGACTTGTGAAAAGCCTATGAGGTGGCTGGCTGTTTTCTTTCGGTATCTGGATCTGACTTAAATCAGGAGGATCTTACAGAATATACCCCTTCTGGGAAATTCTTGATAATAAGAGCACATGATTTCTCAACAAAGTCTGGAAGATTTCCTGAAAACCACGGGAAAGGTGGTATTGGAGTGGCTCCTTGGGGTTGTCATTGCCATTTTAAAAATACCTGGCCAAGATTATCATATACAGTATACAGTGTGGATCATACACGCACATGCATACATGTATACACAACACACATATGTGTGTATATATCTAAATATGTATATATAAAGTCAAGCATGCCCATTAAACTTTTTTTCCTATAAGTAACTTAGGCTACCGAATAAGAAAAGAAAAATTTCAATTTTCCTGCCAACATCTCTTCTTTCTGTACCCCGTCCTCCAAAATGACAGCTTATTTCAGATTGTTGGAATCTTATTGTTTAGGAATGTAGTAACTCCACGTTTGAGAGAAAATAGGATGAAGATCAAATGGTTCTCCTAATAGAACACATGAATCACCTAGAGTGAATATGAAAATTCCAGGTTCTTTGGTCCCAGCCCCAGAACCTCTGAATCAGGAGGTCTGGCACCAGGTCCAAGAAACTACAGTGCTTATTCGCTGTTGGGGATTCTGGTGCAGACTGTCTAAGAACCACAATTTGAAAAACGTTACAATACTAGGATTAGAGTCAGTCAGATATGTCAGCCGAACTTCCAGCTTTCCCGCTCACTGGCAATGTGTAATTGAACAAGTAACACACTACCAACAGAGTAGATATAAATCATCACAATAGCATAGATAATAGTCAACTGTACTGAAATAATTGGGATGTGATAGGTTTTGAGTGTGTATTACCTTTTTTGAAACATAATTTAGGTAATTACAGATTTATGCAATTTTATTTTGAACAATGTCTGTGTTTAAAAACTGGCTTACAAAATTTCCCCAAATTTAATAACTGGCTCATGAGAGCTAGGATGATTTGGTTCTTGCACACTTTTGCCATTGGTTTCCTCACAGAAAATACTGGGGGCAATACAATTTACTTCACAAGGTTAATGTCATGTAGGTTTGCCTCCAATCTACAAGAAAGAGCCTGATGATTTGTTTCCAATTTTTCAGAATGTAAACTATATGATGGCCCACCCTTCTTTTGTCTTGTTCACCACCGTGTCTCTGTCTTGTAACAATGTTTCTGCAGTGTGGTGTTATTAGGTATGTGTAGAGAGGATGGATGAATTCTTTCACTACCATGTGGTGCTCTGCATTCTCCTCTCTTGTTCCATCACTTATTCCTGGCATTTTTTGTTCCAAAGACAACTTACACCTCTCTGCTGGCTCCTCCCTAGGTCTTTTTCCATATTTCTAAACAATTTTTTTTTTAAGACTTACGTATTTCAGAGAGAGAGAGAGAGGGAGCACAAGAGCAAGTGGGGGAAGGGGCACAGGGAGAGAATCTTCAAGCAGACTCCCTGCTGAGCACGGAGCCCCACGCGGGGCTCGATCTCATGACCCTGAAAGATCATGACCTGAGCAGAAACCAAGAGTCAGATGCTTAACCGACAGAGCCACCCAGGTGCCCTGGCCTTTTCCCATCTTAAAATAAACCGGAATCTTCCTCATGTAGTCCTCAAATTAACAATGCTACTCTAAGAGCCTTCTCTATTAACTAATCTAATCTATCAGAAAATAATTCAGTAAATATTTACTGTTGCTAGATTAATTCAGGAATAAATTTAAGTAGAAAACATGCCACTTGTCCTCTAGGCAGAAATCTGATGGTAGGGTTAAGTATGTATTGGGAAGTGAACTGGGGCCAGAGAATTAGCTGAGGAGTGAGACAGCAGTGGAATAAATGTGGTTGTTAGCCACAGAAGGAGGGAATTGCTACAAGGGACACGTCAGAGCTGGGGCTGGCCAACCGTTCAAGGGGCACACAGAGGACGTTTTGGGCTTTGTGTCGCAAACGTGCTTTTTGTTGTTGTTTTTTTACAACCCTTTAAAAATATAAAAACTATTGTACGTCGCAGGACCATAGTTTATAGTTTGCTGATGCCTACTTTAAAAAGCCTTGAAGACCAAGTAGGTATAGGGGGCGAAGATCAAGAGGGCAGAGACAAAAATGACATCAAGATTTTAAGTAGGCCAGGTGGGAGGACGCCGCAACACCAAAATATTAATCAACATGTATTGTATGTTTACTTTGCAACAGGATATGGCGAAGCCCCTTGCATCTATCTTCTCACTGAGTTTTAACAATGGCCTTATGAACTGCTTACTATTATTAGAACCATTTTAGAGATGAAGAAGCTGAGGCCACAGAAATATCAAGCAAATGTCTATGGTCACCCAGCTAGTAAGGGAAAGAGCTCAGCTTAGGCGTGGGAGTGTGTTCTACCAACACCTACAGAAACACACACACACACACACACACACACGAAGATACCTGTATATTTTTAGACATGTCGCGACTGAGGTTCCAATATTTAAAATGAAATATATTTTCTAGAAAGTTTTGAAAGAGTAAAATTGATTTCTAAGATAATTTCTTTCTCTCTGTATCTCTCAGTTTGAAGACAGACTAGAGGGATGTGCACAATTTGTGCAGATCTCCTGTTCTTTCATGCATATGAAAGGATTTCCCGTCTCCACTGACTTTCAAATTAGGCGTTTTCATAGGACTTGCTCTGGCCAATGGAATATGACAGAGTAATATGCTCATTAAGAGCCAATGGGTAATTCACCATACCCTCTTTGCCCCTGCCGAAAGTGATCAAAGAAGCCAATGTTGACTTGTACCATCCATGATTCTTGAGTGAATACAAAGGACAGAACCTTTCTGATAACCACATCAGACATACTGTATAAATGACAATCAAAACTTGTTTTTTTTAGACTGCTGAGATTTTGAAGTTGCTTGCAACTACTACTACACAGAGTCAAGAATTGTACTGTATCTTGGCTGGATCAGAAATGCTTCCTCCTGAAAGAAATGGGTCAGACTGAATAATGTCTAAAGAACCTTTTGAGTCTTACGGTAACAACATGTAATTCTGTTAAAGCGGATTCAAAAAAAACTATGTGACTGACTAAGAAGTAAGTGGACTTAAAAAATAAGGTTCCAAATTCCTATAACAGATAAAAAGGTTAGCTTAGATTTAAAGCTTGTGCAATGCTTGAATGTAGCCAAGGTTTGCAAACCCCTCCAAAATGGGGCTGAGTTTTGAGTTTCATAACGAAATCCAAAACCTTAGAAGAGAGTTTCATATTTCACCCTGAAAGTTTCATACAGCTTAAACTTTCATATCTTTTTCAGGTATCATACTACAAAAAGTTTCTAAAGATCTCTCTTAAATAAATAATGATTAAAGTACCATCTATTAAATTCAGTATGCTCTGCTGTTCTTTGTGTACAGAGATAATATCACTGACTTACTCTTAGTTATGCATGCTCAGTTGATTTTTATTCTTGGTTGGTCCTGCATGATACTTTATTTCCCCTAATTTTTAAGTATTATGTAAGTATATTTTGAAAAATCTGGTGGGGTTGAGCAATGTAATCTGGGAACCATAAAGCTATCTCTGATGTATGAATCTCTTAATCTTGGCTCCATTAGCTCCATACCCTTAACTCAATGAGGTAACTTTTAGAAGAAGAAGAAAACAAAAACAACAACAACAAAAACAAAACCCAGAACAACAGTATAATCCATGACCACCTCCACTGAAGTATCCGTAAGGGCGTGTAATATAGAAAATCATAAAAATGGGCAAAATGAATTAATTTTTTAAAATTAAATAGGGTAACATTTGATGAGTGAGAATGTTACATTCAATGATTTACTTTAAAACAAGGGCAAAAAATTCCTTTTTTTGGATACCACCAAGGATAAAGCAGCTATTTGGTCAGTTGCCAAACCTATGCTTTGAGCCCCAATTTTTGTTGGAGTAAAGAACAACTCCAGTTAAAATATATCTCTACTCTAATGCAGAAGTTGTATTCTATGACAAGAGTACTAAATGGGAGCAAGAAAACCTACATTTTACTTTTTCATGTTTGATTTAACCCATGGCATAGGCTTGGAACATGGGAGGTACTGATTATTGCTTTCTAAAAGAATGGCCCTCAACAAGATTTTTGATCCTTCCTGGACCACAATTTTTATATCTGTGAAACAGATATAAAAGTGCGTATCTCACACAATTATTATGACATTAAAGGAAATAAAGAACAAGAATGGGAAAGTTGTTTTATGGGGTAAAACAAAATACATACAACTGGATATCTTTATTACACAAAATCCTAAAATGACTAGCTCAGAACTATTATATCATTTTTGCTATTTTCATAACCAATATGATATTCTACAACAATTTTTCTATTATTATATGTATGTGGAGATGGAGGGCATAGGTTTTCTTCCTAAAAACCCAAATAAGTCCAGTTAGTCCAGCTTTTAATTCTAATGAGCTGTAACTATGGTCGATAGAGGATGGTCAAGACTGTTTAGATTAACTGACAGAAACTGAATACTTCCCAGCTTCGACAGCAGTTAGGTTGGCGTCAGATGACCAGTTCCAGCCAATGAGCTATGAACTAAAGAGCTGATTCTTATCATCTCCAGGCAAGCTCCTAAAACTGTAAGAACTTATTCTTTGAGTAATGCTCAAAGAATTCCAAGATTGAAGGAGATGTATTCCCTGAATGTCTATGAGGTAAAGTGTCTGTAACCTCTCCCCACTTCTGGTACAATGCATTTGATTACGATGGCCACATTCACAGGGGATGAAAAGTTAGTATCAGGATAGTAATCATAATGTAACTTAACTCATTGCTTCCTTCATCCAGTGTCAATGTTCTTCAGTCACCTGATTACATGTAGGTATGCTTAGTAACATAGCACACTTACATTTTGGTGCAACCTCCTTATCTTGTTATAGATAGGTAACAAACAGTTCATCAACTAGCCACAGTCCAAGGCCATAAATTGAATAGGACTTGTGTTAGCTACCCGACCAATAGCCCAGATCCCACAAAGTAGAGCTGGAACTTATAAGTGCAGGGTATGTGTTCTCTATACAAATGTCATGCTAAATGAGGTACATCAAACTGCTTCTAGATGTTTTTCCTAATAAGTGCCAGTTTATGCTTATTGTCTCAGACTAATTATTAATTATACCTCCTTTCACTCCCTAATTGTCCCATTTTATATGTTACATTATTGGGTCACCTTTACCTAAGAGCCTATTCTCTTTGCTATGTAGAATGAACACTTCAGGTAAGAAAACAAATGATAAATAATTTTTGTACATACTACTGGCTAGTATTTTTCATAAGAAACATTAGATGTGTGATTGAAACCAAGGAGGATCAGTGATTTATTTCTGCCATACTCAGTACCAGGGACACAAAAAGTGGAAAAAAAAAAAAAAAGAAGCTTTGGAATGGATATAACATCAATTTCATAGAAAAAATAAAGTGAAAAATGTTTATTTGTTTTAAAGTAATCCACTGGCCATTTTAATCAAATTGACTAAAATAAATTTCATTGCATTCATTCCAATGCACTTTTACACAATGGTCTTCATTTTTTCATATTATCATAGGCGTTTGTGCATTGATTCTGAGTTTTCTATTTTAGTCACTATTAATAATCTTGAAGCTGTCAAATTCCCCTTGTTCAGCAACTTAAAATTTTCACAAATCCTATGTATGTTTAGGTTTGAATCATTTCAGAATTTTTAAGAAGAGTATTAACAGTTGATCACTGGACTTAAGCATCTTGGTTTTGGCTGTTTCTCGTCATCTGAGGTATTGTACACAGCCTACTTAATATTTAATTAAATTATTTAAGATTTAGCTCCTCCATGAATAAAATATGGATAGCCACACACACACACACACACACACACACACACACACACACACACACGGGACCGCTGTGAGGATTAAGTAAAGTAGTATGTGTTAAGGTAATATATGAACTATATGGTGCATACAAAAATGAAACCGTATGTGAAATTTCATTACTAGATTTAAGGTTGCTTATTCCACATTTCTAAAGGAAGAGGTAACTATTAGCAAAACAGCCCTGTAATCTGTCTGCCCTATCACTCATTTCTTTCCAGGGGAGAGACTGAGTTTTCTGATTTGTGAGTTTTAGATGTGGTACTGGATTCTGCCCCTTCCACCCTTCCTTCTTTTGGGAGCCAGCTGGCCTTCAGAGAACAAACCTCAAGGTCCACTTCATGCCCAGGATGACCAGTAGTTGTCCAGTGCTGCTCGTGATTCTGATGGTAAATCTCCCTAAGTCTTGAATGCATTATGAGGCAGCCCACTTGGCTAACACAAATACATCATGATCTGCAATCACGTTAATCCATTAATGCTGTTATTTTGATTTTCATCTGCCACACACCATAGTTACCTCTTGAATGGGAAGGGAAAAGAACTGCTCTTTATTGGTCCATGCAAACTCCAACAGAAATAAAATACTGTAGTAGAAAATGTAGATGTCACACATTATATATGGGTACCATATTGTAGTTTCTAATATATTTTGTAAATGTAAAATAATCCTAAACTTAATCCTTTTGTATGTTGAACAAACATAATGCTTTCATGCAATTTTCTATTAAAATTTATGATGCCCCCAAATATATACTACACTGAATTAGACACCTTCATATAATTAATTTTAGATTGAATGTATCAGTTCAGAAAATACATAAAGAGGCAGTTATACTGATTTAATATGGCAACATGCTTTGACTAGCTTTCCAATATTAATACCACAATTAAACCTTAATCTCTTAATTATATACTGACTTAGAATTTAGAAACACTTTCTCCCCCATGATCATTTGATCCTGTCATCTTGTCCTCCATTTGACCAGGTTGCCTGAGGTAAAAGGCTGCAGTCGAAAATCACTGTAATGAGACTAACTGGCTCATAGGAGAATCCAACTTGCCACATAAGCCTTCCTGGTGTTATGTGCTAACCACTGAGCTCAACGGTCAAGAGGGAGACCTCACCAGAAACCAAAATGGAATTCACACAAGAAGTACAGTGCCTTGTGGAGTTGAATTGTAGTCCACTTTCCCTGATGAGACAGCACATCTTATCTAAGTATTGCAGATGTTTCTCAAATGACCTAATAAATATTAGAATATCATCTAGGTAAATGAGGTAAATATGTCATTGGAATCTTGCAGCCTTCCATAATTAAATGCAACACACCAGCTACTTATTTTCTTTCTAGTGAGCTAAACTTGACTAGCTGGAATCAGCAACATATTCTGATAATATTCTTTCCTAAGGAAACTGGGATCTGTTCACGTTGGCCGGGGTGGGAGTTTGAAGGGGGAAGGTGGTTACCTAATTAATATGATATAGCTTAATTAATTCTGCAGCCTTAGAGCATGGATGGGACCCCAGATTTCAAATGTAAGATATCAAAACAATCAGGCTAGAACTCTAGAGGGCATGACATTTCATACAACCTTCAGTTCTTTAAGCTGCATCCAAGCTCCTGGCATATTCAGGATTTAGAAAAGATAGTTCTTGTAATTTTTGTGGATTTAATGTAGTACAAATTTACATACAAAGAGAGACTAAATAGGCACAGTTTTATTTCTGTTACTTTTTCAGTGGTATAGCATCAAAGGAAAACCAATTTAGCAAAAACATTAGGTTCTTCATTAAGTTCAGAAATGGGTTATCCAATTATATATACTTTTATATTATATATATTTTGTTTTTCTACATATATTTATAAGAATTGAGATGTAATTGACATATAACATTATATTAGTTTCTGTTGTACAAGATTTGATATTTGTATATGTAAAAAATGATCACCACAACAAACCTATTTTCATATTTATCTGTCCAATTTTACTCTCAATATCTGACGAACAGGGTTAAAGCATAAATCTTTGTATAAACAGCATTAAATATAGTGCCAAGTAGAGAGTAGGTACTCAACATATATTATGAAAGGAATGAAAGATTGGGCTTCTATATAATAATACAAAATCACTAATAAAATTAAAATATGACTATTCGCATTTACTCATTCTTTTTTATATGCCCACGAATCAAAATTTGTATGTGTTACCCTTAAAATTGAATTAGTTCAGCCTATAAAGTCTACTGAAAAACCTGGGAAACATGGGGAATATATGCACTAGTATTTACTAATAAAACTGTTTCTTCCAATACTGAAGTGGACAGATTTTCCTATAGGTGACCCATTCTCATCAGTTCTTAACATTGGTCGTTCTAACATTGGCCTAGTATCATCTCAACAGAATATGCACTGTTTGGGGAAAAAATGAAGTCCAAGTGATACCCATTCATTCAGTATTCATTTGGGTGTTGTTTGCTTCTTTTCCCTCTGGACAGTGTTAAATAGCTGGAACAATTATTTTAGATAATACTGGACTAAGTTTCCTATGAGTCCTGCCTGTCTTAATCTTCTGTCCTTATATTTGTGCCTTTTGGCTCAACAATGTCAGAGAGAAACAAAAAGCAAGGGAGTGCATTTTCTCTTCTCCTGCTGCTGACCTGGTTGTCTGAAGGGAGAGCAAGGCACAAGGCCAAAGTGCACGGCTGTTTTCAAATATATGACCTGGATTCTTCTAGCATTGGCACAGATAGTCTGTGAGGACTCGTATGGATTCCCAACTGCCTACTTGAAGGGTGACCAATCAACTCCTTCATGTACCGTACTGAAACATGAGTTCTTCTCCTGTAAGACAAGGAGATAATTTTAGCACTAAGGTTGCCTTCTTTGCCTTTAAAGAATATTCTCCTGGGAAAAGCTCTGTTGGTAAAATCTGAGCAGAAAAGCTGTAACACCACCACCACCACAACAAAAAAACCCCACAGAACAATCAAACTAACAAAAAACCTGCACTGAAACATGCCCTGGATGGCTCAGTCGGTTAAGCATCTGCCTTTGGCTCAGGTCATGATCCTGGGGTCCTGGGATCAAGTCCTGCATCTCCCTCTGCCTGTCGCTTCCCCCCCCCCCACCCCGCTTGTGCTCTCAATCTCTCTCTCTCTCTCTGGCAAATAAATAAATAAAATCTTAAAAAATAATAAAGTTCTCTAAAAAAAACAAAAACAAAAAACAAAGAAACATGCCCTGGAAAAGACAGAATTGGAAAATCTACCAAAGAATACTCCCATAACCCTGCCAGGGCCATCCTATTTTATAGTGCAGCAAAATGATTTATGGTTTTTCAAAGTACTTTTCACCAACATTTGATGTCCAAATAAACCTCCCTATATTAAAGACCTTCTTGTGGGAAGGTCTAACACATGCTGCACTTATACATTTGTGGCTAATGCCTTAGCTATTACTTGTTGAAATCCATCTCTTAAAATTAACGCAGAGAGGATGCTCATAGATGGAACCTCACTTGTTCTTCGAAACAAAACAAAACAAAAAAGCAAACACAAAAACAAACACCCAGCAGCAGCCCTTTAAAAAGCTGAGCAGACACTTCCTGTCAACTAATGAACAACATTGTACAACAGATTTATTCATACTACAGCTGTGATTTGATAACCAATTCTGTTTGGAATTTATTTGTGAAATGTCACACAATCCAAGATGTTTTAATTATGTTACATTTTATCCAAGACTGCTGATTATAAAACGAGTGATCAAGAATTAAATCAACTGAAGTCTAGAAAAGATGTAGAAAGACCGGAGTAGTATGGGTATATCAAACCTGGAATGCCTGAGCAGTGATTTCTGTTTGCGCTGAAATGAGAAGACCTCTGGCTCAAAAATATATATATTTTTCAGTTTTTAAAAGGACTGCAGTTTCTGGTTGATGCAGTTCTTCATAATAGTCACTTTACCATTACCACCATAAAGACTGTATTTCTAGACAATATTCTTTCATCCCTGAGGAATGAATTTGTGAACATATATTTTGTAGCATTAAATGATGCACATTTTAAGCCATCCTGACACTGTTTGATGTGGCAATGATGATATATTTGAAGATGGGTAGCATAGTGCATATCACCACCTTTTATTTAGCAGATTCACTTGAAAGTGTGTTGGCCTCCATGATTCCAAGACATTGTCATTTTAGCTTGATCGTACAGAATTCCTTTACAGAGAGTAAGTAGTAAGTTTACTTTTAGTCTAAGCTATTCAAAGAGAGGTTTTTATTATACTTTTAGAATAGCTCTAATTTAATTTACCTATTAACAGAAGATGGAAATAGAAAAGAAGCTAAAAGGTAGGGAATTTCACATAATAAGATCAAATGTTTTGTAAAGCTCCACGTAATTACGAAGTCAAAGAAACATTAACAGAACTGACTTTGTGATAGCATTTCAGAAATTTCTATCTTTTTGCCAAGTAGAAAATCCTAAGAGAATATGACTTTGGCTTGTCAGATGTCTGAAAATATACTTCAAACATTAGTTATAGCCAACTCTTCTGCTGTTTCTCTTCTTCCATTCCAGGATAAAACTAGGAAAAACAAAACGTGGAAATGAGAAATATTTTCTATTTCCCTACCCAATCTAAAATATGGTTGATAAAATAAGCTTCATTTTTATGTAGCTATCTTAACAACTAAAACAGCAAAAAATACCAGTTTGTCATAAAATGGGAAATGTACTTGATAACACAAGGTAACGGCAGGTTACAGCAAAAATAAAATCTGAACTTTAAAAAAACTGAAAAACGTGTTGTCATGAAGGACCTGACAGTGATGGAGTCAACAGGAAATCACTTAAAGAAAGTCTCATTGAAATTCTGGAAAATAACCAGCTTTACCGCAAGTTACAGGATGTAACAAATCTATCAGTAAGTATCTAATATGTATCATTAATCAAATAACTAGGAAACTGCTGGTGTAGCCACTCTGGAAAACAGTATGGAGGTTCCTCAAAAAGTTGAAAATAGACCTACCATACCACCCAGCAATTGCACTACTGGGTATTTATCCGAAAGATACAAATGTAGGGATCTGAAGGGGTATGTGCACCCCGATGTTTATAGCAGCAATGTCCACAATAGCCAAACTGTGGAAAGAGCCAAGATGTCCATCGACAGATGAATGGATAAAGAAGATGTGGTATATATATACAATGGAATATTATGCAGCCATCAAAAGGAATGAGATCTTGCCATTTGCAACGACGTGGATGGAACTGGAGGGTGTTATGCTGAATGAAATAAGTCAATCAGAGAAAGACATGTCTCATGATTTCACTGATATGAGGAATTCTTAATCTCAGGAAACAAACTGAGGGTTGCTGGAGTGGTGGGGGGTGGGAGGGATGGGGTGGCTGGGCGATAGACATTGGGGAGGGTATGTGCTATGGTGAGTGCTGTGAAGTGTGCAAGACTGTTGAATCACAGATCTGTACCTCTGAAACAAATAATACATTCTATGTTTAAAAAAAAAAAGAAGAAGATAGCAAGAAGGGAAGAATGAAGGGGGGGAAATCGGAGGGGGAGATGAACCATGAGATACTATGGACTCTGAGAAACAAACTGAGGGTTCTAGAGGGGAGGGGTTGGGAGGATGGGTTAGCCTGGTGATGAGTATTAAAGAAGGCACGTACTGCATGGAGCACTGGGTGTTACATGCAAACAATGAATCATGGATCACTACATCAAAAACTAATGATGTAATGTATGGTGATTAACATAACATAATTAAAAACAACAACAACAAATAACTAGGAAATCAGTAACTGGTGCTATTTTGCCAACCAGACTTTACATATGTATTTCTAAATTGTAGAAACCTAGGAAATGTCTGTTTAAATAATTCTTGAATACCTGATTAATTCTGAAAATTACTAAAATCAATTCCAGCTAAGTCTTTCTTCATTGAATACGGATAAAGTAACTTCAAAATCCACAGCCACTGGTTGCCATGCAACCTGCTATAATATTATGTCAGAATAAGCTGGGCTTGAATTTTCTGGGCCCTCTTGCTTTGCCGACCTGATGTTTTGAAACTCTGTGCGTCTCAGCTAACTTCCATTAAGTAGTGTTTTGTGGGGTAGTATTCCAAGGTTAAAATGATTAAATAACTTTTATGGTTGATCAAATATAAGCCCTTATTATACACACTAGGCAAAACCATACATTTTAATTACTTTGTTATCGAAGATCTAGGTATTTACATTTCACTTTTCAATAATAATTCTGAGTTTAGCAGACCCTTCAAAAATGCCTAAGATTATTGCCCTCTACTAATATTTATCATAAACAACAATGCAGTTAGTATAGGACAACAATAAATAACACAGCAAATATCAGATGCGAAGTATTTTTATTTTATGCCTTTGTGTAACTAGTCTAATTTTTTTCAGTGTGATTGGATTAATTATTTGAGGGTTTGCATTATATTTCTCACTTTGCAATCATGCACAAAATAAAGAAACTGATCAATATTTGATCACAGTTGCAGTGCATTAATTGAAAGTTAATTTTCAGTGGAATCACTGCCATTATTCACTTTTGAGAGGTATTATTATTTGATTATGAGAAAAAATATCCAATCTTTGTAGAAAGGGGGAAAAAAGATATATTTTAAAATAGAGGCACAAAAAAGCAACTACATTATTAAGAGAGGAAAGTCCTTCAAAATAATGTTCATAATTGTGTGTTTAGAAAAAATACTGATTAGGCTTCATATTTTACATTTGAGTTTGTGCAAATATGAACTATTTCCTTATAAAGAAAGAATCAGAGTGACGAAAATCTCTTTTAATAAAATCATCTCTCTTGGAAATCCACTTATTATCAAAATGGAAAGCAATTTAAAATCTAGCCATTAACCTCTAGCACTTATGTAAAAACAGATTTATTAGAATAGAAGAGAAATACCATTTTGGTAATTTACACTATAAATATTTCAAAATAAAAATATTACCTTTCATTTATTACAAAGGAAAGTGAATATGTCAAAATTCACTCACACTTAATTTTAATGGCAAGATGTTCAGATAATTACACCTTATAGAAAGACTGAAATTTGCAATTAAATCCAAAGAGATGTAATATTGCTCATGTTTGACATTAGGTAAATTAAACTGCACTTCTCTTTTAAATAACTTATGTGTTCATTTTTACTTGCATACTCCCCAAATCCATTGGCTTAGGTTAATGTATTAAAATAGTGTCTTGCCTACCTCCTCCAGGTTCTCAAAAGAATCCAACAAGGAGAGAAGAGAAAGAACTGATTTTGATTATACATGAAACAGAATAAAGTAGAAGTATTTTTGATGGAAATATATTCTAGATAAACACATCAGTGTACATGCAGT